GACCCCCCCCCCCCCCCCTCCCCCCCCCCCCCCCCCCCCCCCTCACCACCTAAGGCGCAGTTCATACTCGTGCTCGGCCCAACACATCCAAAACTCTCTTCTTCGGAATCCATCGCCCTTTCGGCCCGGTTCCCGCGTCCCTCCTTCGTGCCTTGGGATCGGTCGAAAGGGGTTCTTACAGATTGGATCCACGGTAGGAAGAGTCCAGAAAAAATAAATACGCGAATCCGTATACAACAACCATTCCCCTTTTCCTCATCGCCTACCGAAGGGATGGAACGAGCAGATGTGTCAAGAGTCACGCCTGGAAATAGCTCGGGAAAGTGGGTCAACCGAATGTGTACCACCCGTCCGTTTTTTTTCTACCGGGCATGAAACAGAGAAAAAAAAATTACAACGAAAGAAAAGGGTTAGAGAGAAACAAGGGAGAAGGAAAAAAAAGGAATCCATCCTGACGAGCGACATTCTTGGCAAAAGAACCCGTTCCCATCACCGAAGACAGCCAACCCGTCCGGCACCCCTCACCCTCACGAAACCAGAGCCGACCGATTCCCCCCCCCCCCCCCCTCTTAATCTATGGCCTTCCGCGAAACCTAGTGAAGTGAGTGTATGGTTAAAGGTTAGTGGCAGGCAGGCCGGGATGAGGCAACCTCGTTTTTCTCTCTCTCTCTCTCTCTCTCTCTCTCTCCTTCACCCTTTGAAGAGTACCTCATATCTCCACTATATTAGGCTAAAAATATCAGCGACGAGTGCGGGATAAAAGATGAGAGGCACTCCCTGCCAAGGGCGAGATCTCTCTCCAACTTCTTAATCCTTCACGAGACCATCAAAGGCGGTTTTCCTCGATCAAACACAAGTTACTCGAAGAGCGACCGAATCGATGGCCAGAAACCTCGGCAGAGAAAACTTCCCCACTACGAACGGAAAGGCCGGACGCGACAAAATCATTAGCTTCCCCGTCCGCGATCCCGTCTTCCCCTCACGCGTGCCCATCGAAAGGAAAAGAAATTCGCCCATAAACCTGGAAGTTCCCCAAGGAAAAAGGGGAGAAAGAAGAGAAAGCTATAAATAATCCCCCCCCCCCCCTTTGAGACGAGCGAAGGCCAGGGCAGTGGCAAAGCCGCTTCCACCACCTGTGTTACTGCCCTGGGTCACTGATCCTTCCCCACCTGGTATACAGTTAGCTCGAACGCCAGAACCCCTTCGCCGAAAGCACAACCCTTTCACCCCCATACAGCCTTCTGCGATCGTAAAATTGGATCACACCTGAACCCTGCTTCCCAGCTACCCCAGCGAATGTCCGAGAAAAAAAATCTCACCGGATGAAGTACGGATGGTCTTTCCCTTCTGAGCCGAACACGGTGCACACGCCAGGAGCCCGGTGACCGAACAGGTGCGATGACACACTAGATCACAGTCTGCCATAGAGAACATCGAAGAGACACAACATTAGAACATCCAGACTAAATACCCCTGCTTCGGTGAAAAAAATGAAGATACCAGCAGCAGCAGGACACGAGACTGACTCATCAAAATACACCTGAATCCACACATACCGGGTCTATTCAGCTCAAACACGTGCATCATTCACTGTACATGATCGAGTGTCCTACATTCCAAATCACATGATTAACGCAATTGCAGCGAATTGCTAACAAATAACTGCCACGTACACTTTCAAGCCCCAGACATTACATTCCTTGCAACGACGACGATTTCCAAAATTTCACCAATATATTTTCGGCTGCATATCGGGTCAAATTTTATTCAAACCTCGAACCCCTCGTGCCATCCAGTGCCCCCGGACACCAGCGAACCCCGAACCGAAAAACACCGACACCCACCTTGACAGACGAACCCCTGATGACTGAGCCCCCGAAGGTGTCCATTACACTTGTGGCACTTCTGGAGCGACGTGAAGGTCGTCCCCTGGAGCCTGTGCGTGGCAGCCGACGCCGTCATCGTCTCCCCCCCCGGCACCTGCATCGTCTCCTCCCCCACGTCCGTGACGGCAGCCGCATCCCGCCGTAGCAGCTCCTCCACGCACACCAAGATCGCCTTCTGGTGGAACTCGTCCTTGATCCCCATGTTCTGTCGAGAACATCAGCCAAACATAACCGGAGTGTCGGGGACTTCCAGCACGTGGGTCTCACATGCGAGAGCTCTCCTTAATCTTTTTGGAAAGCAAGAACACGAAGAGCGAGAAAGACATCGAATGGGTGTAAAGCGATACGTAACGGCGGCTTTTAGGCGTGCAACATTGTAAGTCGCTCTGGTCCATAGAGTGAGACGTGAAACTGCCGTCGAGACATTATATTGCGGTCATTTTTCACTCGAATGGTTTTCAGACGGGAACCAGGGCCCAGAGATTTACGTCCGGAGGGTATCTTATTGCTGGTGACCCTTAGTGGCACATATGCACACAGTTACCAGGGGAAGAGAGCGAGATAAGCCTCCTCTTTCTGCGGACAAGCACCAGAAGAAAAAAAAAAAGGAGGGAAGGCCCCAGTCATCTTTCAACCTCCAGAAAAACCCCAGAGCACCTTACATGCAAGTTTCACATGTTCGATGCGTAAAACCAGCCTGGCATTCCACGGAAAGAGAAAAGCAAAAGCAGAAACTCCAAAGCTGAGGAACTTCGGAACTCACCAAGAGTTTGTCCTTGTCCAACGACGGGAGATCCACCCCCTTGATGTCCTTGGAGCGGAATACCTCGGCGTAGCGGTCGAGATGCAGGACGGCCATCCATTCCATCACATTGGCTGAGGTCCACTGGTTCAATGGCTGGGGAAAGGGAAAGCAACCATGAAAACCACCCGAACGACAGAATCATTCCGCACTCATCATTCTCCACTTGGATTCTCGACGTGCTTAAGGTGGCATTGCATGATGAGCGAGCCCCAGCCAAAGACATACCAACCTGTCAGTCGTAATTATGCGTGTGAGTGCGTACCGCGGCCGAGTTGCATCACGGCACCTCGGTTTACATCTATTTATCTAACCGGTATCTCTCTTCCCTCTCTTCGATGGATCGATGAGAGGAGACCCTGAAATGAGGTCAGATATCCCCGTGGGTCGATGACCCGCTTCCCCCATCTATCCATTCGCTCGATACTCTTTACGCGAAGGACAGGGCAAGAAAAGGCTGAAAGGGGCACAGAAAGGAGGGAAGGTCGATCCCTGCCCTCCCTCCCTCCCCGGCTATTCATCAACGGGGGGGGGGTATGGTCACACGTTCCTTCTCCCTCTCCCTCCCCTCATTTCCATCTCGTCTCATCCGAGCGATAACATCTACCCATTCAGGCGAGTATCTAGTTCCGTGAAAAGCTTTCCCTCTTCAGCAATCCATCAATTCATCTGCTTACACATTCATGAATTTGAAACCAATAATCTATTTCGGGGTCGCACGACTGGTTCTCCTTAAGACTTGACGAGACAAGACAAAAGCTATTCAGATCCTCCGACCCAAGGCGAACAGCCAAGGACGCGGGCGAGCGCGAGGATGTAGGAGATCGAAAATGATCCGATGAAAATCGGCGAAAGGAGGGCAGGGTTCTCCCTCTGCACCATGATACCGGCCGGTACTTATTAGTACTTCCGGTCCTCTTGCGAAATCGAACAGCACCAGCTGCTTCCTCTGTCATTTCTCTTTCCCACGAAACCGGAGATCGAAACCTCTGATACCGTTCCCCTTCCATCTCTACCATCCCAAGGACCTCGCACGGAAACGGTCCAACGTGACCGTCCCAGTCCTTACTTCCGTGACCTTGAGGTACCGGTGCAGTCCCTCACTCTGGACCGGAACGGCTTCATTCTACATCATTTTTTTTTTTACAGTACCGGTGATTAAGGACCTGGGGAGTCTCCCAATGACCTAGAGAACGACGAGAGGCTTGTCACTGGTACAGCATTTCCCACCCATCTTTCCCGATACTGTTCCATTGTGTAGGATGATGGGTGAGGCCACAGAAGAGAAGGATGAAAATGTGGGTGAAGGGAAGAAGGGAGAGACGGAAGAGAGAACGAACGGATAGAAGGCAAGAGAAAGAAGAGGGAAGAAGAACGTGCGGCCAGCCAATGGGAGACAAGGACCCGGGTAGCAACAACCAATTGGAAGCCGGGGCCTGCGCGCTCTCTCGCCCGTCGTCAGTCGAGAGCGAGCGAGCGCGCGAGAGGAGAGAGAGAGAGAGAGAGAGAGAGAGAAAAACGAGGTTGCCTCATCCCGGCCTGCCTGCCACTAACCTTTAACCATACACTCACTTCACTAGGTTTCGCGGAAGGCCATAGATTAAGTAGCGAGCCGTGTCGCAAAGACCCCCGAGTCCGTCGATAACATGTCGAGTGCATGGGTGCATGAAACGACGACTGCCATGCTGCAATCCGATTCGGTCGTCGGGTCCGAGAATCCACGCGATGCCATGAAAAATGACTCTCTCGTTTCCCTCGATCGCTCTTCCCTTCCCACCTGCGTACTTCTCACGTCCCGAGATAACAAGGGCAAACGGCACCCCGAAATCGTCGGGAGTGCGCACGTACGCCTCGATCCCCAGAGCCCCAGGGCGAACGTGAACGAAAGCTCAGGCGTAGGCTGAGATGGGAAAACCGTCCGTCGTTTCGCGATGACCACCCCAGGCCTCACGAACGCGATCACTTTCCACCACGCCCCATCCCGGCCTTCTCCGTATTTTATTACCTCCATCTCCCCCGCTCCGGAGGCTCAAGGCTCCTTCCGTCGTCCTAACGTCGTTACCGCGATGAGTTCCATCTTTCCTGGTTGGGTGAAACGAGGTGTGCAAGTAGAAGCGACAATAAACTCGATCCTCTTCGTAGACCATACGTGAAATTGACGGACCGTGGAAGAGACTTGCCCTAGCAACACCATGAAATGATGGTGGGTGCGTGCCTCGCGCCACGCAGTACCACACCTGAAAAGGTACCCTCCATTAATTATTTCTGCGTCCTCTGTTTTTTTTTTCTTCACCTCCCCTCTCCC